TCGACTTGCGACCAACTCGACTTGCGATCAGAGTCACAGAACGGATTAAGTTCGTAAGTAGAGGTACCACTGTATTAAGAGTCTAAATCAGATAACTCCATTTGTATTTTCCAAGCTTTGACAAATATATCCAGAATCACACAAAAAAACCCCAAACAAATTAAACCAATATGTCAAATCACTGCACCCACAGATGTGTGTGAAATATTTGAACCAAGAATGATTCCCATAATTACCATTGTTTTAATCCTCATCCTTCTTTTAAATAATAAAGCATACCCAATAGGGTTTAGCATATAAAACAGTCCTTAAAATTATCATGCCTGAGTACAAAAGAGCTTTGCCTGATCAAAGATGTCTCTCCATGGCCTGTGTAAAATCATCTTTCGACAAGTTAGCTTTGGGAGTTCCAAGATTCTCACTCACTGATCTCATCTCGTAGACATTTCTGTTACTTTCAGGTAAACTCTCTAGCTTGCCACACAGCTGCACTCAGTTCTAAATCTCTTTGAGGTAGCAAATGTAGCATTTCATAATCACAAAAAGACCATGTTTCAGACCAGACAGCTTATCTGACAGAACAACACTTTCATTAGGGCCTCGTACACAGACAGGATACTGTTCTCTGGCACAGAGCATTAGATGGTCTTGCTTACCACATTTAAATGTTTGAGACTCCCTTCCACTAAAGAAAAAGATTACTTTCTGTTACATATCTGGTATCCCGGTTGGTGAGGGGCGGCGGGGGGATGCTCTGGAAAGGAAGAACTCAGTATAATAATCTCTCACCCCAAACTACTGATATTTTGCACAAGAGGAACTTCTTTCATGCAACCTTCCTTCATCCCTACCTTCTTTAAATGTATTGCAATTCAACTCCCATCATTCTTAGCCAGCATTTGTCACATTGGCTGAGGATAACAGGAATTGTTCAGCATGCACCAGCCTTGGGAAGACTATCTGAGCCTATAACTTTTGCAGACTTTCTGCAGATGGGCTCAAGACAGTCTTGCGGATGTCGATGAAAGGAACTTCAGCAAAATGATCAACTCTTTTAACAGAAGCGAACTAGTAGAGAAAGTCAGCTGTAATTAGCAAAATAAACTACAGTAATACAATGTGTAGACTGCATAAGAAAGTTCACTGGTTTCAATGCAGACACCCTCTATTATGTTAACACGTTTGTGAGAACCTACAAGACTCACACTTACTGAAGCATTTTTAATACTTAAAAAGACTGAAATGTCTAGAATACAAGGATACAAAACACACCGGTCATTTTAAATCAAGCAATCCTGACAGAACTAACAAGTAACAACAAAGGACTGTTTTCAGCAACTACAAAAATAGAGTATTTTAGATTTCCAAATTGAATTTCAAAAAATGGTTACATAAACCTGTGTGCTGTTCCTTCCTCCAACAATTCTAACCAGGATGTAGCGACTTCATATTTCAAAACGGTATGAAAATCTCCCCCCCCCAGCTAAAAAGAAAATACTCTATTATACAAAAGAAAGCATAATTTTCTTGACAAAAATGATTTACAGGCTATAGTATTCTTTGCTAAAATAAGCTAAAATAAGATGTGATCAACCTTAAAAGTTGCAAAAGCTACAGAGAAAAGGTCAATCCTGAAAGCATCACTCAGCACAGTGGGTTTCACAGAAGACCATGGTTACATGTAAAGATTGTATTTACACTGCCTGCAGTCAAATCTAATAGTGTGAGTTAAGAAGGACGGTTGAGATTTTTTTTTTTGCTTTTGTTGGCTCAAACCAGCTCTTTGAAATGGCTGTAGCTACATTACTTGTGTGTGACTGCACACACATTACTGCAAGCTTCAACACTGTCTCACATGTTAAACAACTCACAAATATTTCCTAATAATAAAAGACAAGGAATATTTCAGGGGCATATATTAGTCCTAGAATGATATATCACAGTTACAACTCATTGCTTTCTTTGGCTCAGGTTCAGTTGTTTGAAACCAAGGAATCTCAGTTAGTTCACTGACAAGTGCAAGTAGAAGGGTGTGATCTTGGCCAGAGAAAAGGATTAGTAATATTTTTACATCATATATTTATCTTAACCTAACTCATTTATCAAACATGATTAAAGAAAAGCTGCTATCTGCACTTGCAAATAATTAAAGACTTTCTTTTAACAGCCAGAATTATTACTACAGAAAGCGATCCTTGTAAGAGAGAATGATAGTGACCAAGCATTATCCAACTGTGAGGGCACACACTTGCCAAATACCACAGACGGTCAGATGTAGAACATGCTGTAGACACGGTCAGACTTAATGTAGAAGCTTGCAGCCAGGGACTAAAAGTCCCTATAGGCAAATTCACACTGTTACGCAAAGAAAACAACAATTTCTGATTGCTGATAGCAAACCCTATGCATCCACTGGAACATTCATTTGCATTCACTGCACTTTTTCATACATTTTCAATTTTTTTCATCTGGCGTTTAAAATAGGTAAGCATAAAAATAACATACACATCACTAAAATTTTACAGACAAGGTATACCTTTGTGAATACAATAAACTCAAAGAGAAACAGAACTGCAATAATAATTCAATCGCCCCTTCCCATAAATATAAGTCACACTTCAAAACCATGCAATCTAACTTAGGAAAAGTAGTCTGGCTGTACTTAAAAGCAAGGTGATATCTCCAAGGACTATGGCAAACACTGCAGAAGCAGTCTTCAGTTTACATAACAAATATTTCCTTCTCCCCTCCCCTTGCAATATTCCCTGTTCTTTCCTTCAAATCTACTCCAGAGAGTATCTAGTTTGCCCACTGCTATATGAATACAAGAGGATTTAAGGCCTTTTTAAGAGTAGATATGAAGGAAATCAGCCACATATTTGCAGATATGTATTCTAAGCAAACTATTTGCCATCTTTAACATGGACATCAGTTTATTTTATAGCATAATTAGCATTCCTGGAGATAGTTTAGAATGTGTTGCTACTGAAAGGAATATTATTTCAGTTCAAAATAAAAAGCACAAGCAATTATAAGCATTCAACTGTAATAGAAACATTAATTTCTTCTTACTTTGTATTCTGGAATTCACAAAAGGAGGAGATAGATTGTCATGTGATCCAAGGTCCCTGTTTGTCATATGTTCATAAGAAGTTCCATCTCCATAGTTCTGTAAATAAATTGGTAGCCGTTTAAATGGAATTTACATGTGCAAACCTCTTAGATATTTCCCAATCATTATAACCAGGAAGACGCTTTTTCAAGGGACTGATTAAATTTGCAGATAGTTATTCTAATATATTAAAAATCTGTGCTCATATTTATGTTAATAACGCAGATATTAGCCAGTAAAAAATGACATTTTCTATCCTGTCAAAAAGATGGAATTGTGTTTTGTTGCAGTTACAGTCTCAAATAACGAGAAATGTGGGAAGTTAAGATTATAGATTTTATTTAAGGAAACATATTTGAATTTCCAATAGTGGCTGTTCCAAGCTACCTTGGACCGAAATTAATTTGTACTGTCTCTTTCAGCGTTTTTTTTCCCCATTGTTCTGATGTACTAATTTGCCCATGCAATCTGATTTGTTTTAAATTCATTCTACTTTTGTTCAAATCAATTTTAGTTGAAGATTTATGTACTGAAGTTTATAGTACACATGGTACGACAGTAAGAAGCAATGCATTCATGAGCTTCTTATGGAAGACAAAACAATATTATATTTCATATTTTACTCTAAAATGTGGCTCAGCATTTCTTCTGGGGGAGTTTGCTGATGTTCTTCAGAACCTCACAGAAAGTCTCCATACCTGTGTTCCCACAATTCTGAAATTTAACATTTAACAGTATTCCAGAAATATCAATGCACATATCATCCACCCAACAAAGCCTGTTCAATAGAGGGTTCTGATAGACAGTGTTGCTACAATCAGACAGCAGGAGCAAGATAATAAATTCCATTTTCCAATGCCTACTTCATGTAAATCCCATTTTGAGTTAAGTCTGTAGAAAAGCCCTGTGTTTCTTCTTTGGTGAGATGACAAATGATATTCCAAATCCTTTTTTATTTTAGCCTCAAGTACTGGAAAGAGTAGTGCAGGATGGCAAGGGGACTGAAGAAAAAATTAATCCACGTGAGTCAGAGCTATCTCTATCAGTAATTCACAAATTGTGGTCCACGCAGATCCCGCAGAAGATCTGCCGCCACAGCCGCCACTATGCTGCATTCACTGTCAAAAATGAATCAGCAGCTGAAAACTGGTTCACTGAAGCATACAAGGAGCAATGTAAGTACTAAAATTCAGAAACCTGACAGCAGTGCATAGGTCTCAAGTGCAGTTATGAGTGTGCATGTGCTGTGCTAAGTGGATATCTAATCTTCACACAAGCAAGCCAAAAAAGAAAAATGTAAATCAGAAATATGGTGACAAATATCTAAAAAATGGGATTTCACTGGGCTGGAGATCTACTTGCTCTGAGCCTCTTAGTAATCAACATTTTCTAAAGAAGAACATTCTTGATCAGCAAATTTGTACAAGGTGTTGTTAATATGTTATGGAACACATAAAATAATTCAGGTAATAAATCCATATTTAATTTAGAAAGGAGTATTTTTAATACAAAACTTGTTTTAAAGGGGCCTTAAGTATATGCCTTTCAGTTCTAATCATTTTAGTCACCATAAAATGGTTAAGGGATAGATGGCCCTGACCCTTCTGTCCCTCCATAAAGCCTTAAAAAAACCTTGGATCTTCCCTAGCCATCGGGTGGGGACATGGGACAAGCCCATGTAGAATGAAATATCTTGACCGAGATATGTGTTGGTTGCCTAAATTAATTCTGTTCTTATTATTTCTGTTATTCCACTTCCTATTGTTCTTTTTTTCTGTTCTGAATGTATAGCATATTGTATTGCACTGATTGCATTGAATCTTATTCTATTTTAATTCCTTGTTTTCATTCTCTGTAAATTGCCCAGAGTCACTCAGCAAATTGGGCAGCCATATAATTCTATAAAATAAATAAATGTGTGAATTCTCATGCTGCTAAGGATAAAAAGGTAGCAAGAAGCGTTTAACTGAGTGTTTCCTGCAAATTTTCAAAGACTTATTCAATGGTCCACAACTGCAGAAGGTTTAAGCAGAGTTTGATCTAGACCTTGAAGAGTTCAAAATACAAGAAACAAAATCTCTATCCAACAAGGCCTCTTTTCAGATAAATTTCTAATAGTATGGCTACAACAGTTACCAGCAGGGATGATGTGTTAGTAAGATCCAACTGTCTTTTAAGTTTTATATTAACTCTATTGTAAGGCTGTGCAGCACCTTGGATTCACAGGAAAGAAAGGTGCTTCAGAACTCAACATTTAACAATACCTTCTTAAAGCAGCTGTGTCTTTTCCCAGCATTGCATGGCAGCAAATGGCATGTTTAGTTAAAGAGTTCCTGACAGATGTCATAAAGCACCTTCTTCCTTTTGAATCCAAAATATTGCATTGTCCTGCTGTATGGCTGTTAGGTGCCTTGAATCTCATGCAGACAAGAAAGATGAAGTGAAATAAAGAGAATGCTTCAAATGCTGCCTTTCATCACATGAAGAAAGTTTTATTTTACTTTTAGTGTTTTCCGTAAGAGTAACGGTTTCAGTATGATGCATCAGAAAAAGGGTTAATGTATGAAGTATAGCTGTTCAAAAGTTGGCCTTGTTTTTTCTATCTGTTTACTGTTGTCTAATGGTCATTTGGAACTTTTCAGCCCTGATCTGGTAGCTCTGTATAAACAGACATCAATGTCAGATGAGGATGGTGGTCCTTCTGGGTGCAGCTGCAGTTCTAATTTCTGCCAACTGTCACAAGAACTTTGATATTAATATGTTATACTTCCTGAGTCTATTGCATATTCTTAGTGGGAATGAATATGTGATCTCTGTAACATGAGAAGAGATAGTTTCAGTTCATCAGCATAATGCGCTTGAATGTCAAGCTGACAGAGCCATGGATTGCAGCTGGTAAACTGAAAGCTTCATATGTGTTCTTTACACCACAGTTAGGAGCATACTGTCTTATCTCCAGCTCTTTAAATCTCTTCAGTTTTGAAGATTCAGGCATCATTTCTTGACAAAGCACAGCATCGTTTGAGTGTGTCCACAAAATATAGAACAGGTATTTTTGGAAAAGAAAATGCGACACATTACGTTAAAGTTAGGGGCAGAATTCATGCATTGAATTCACTATTGCATTTTATATTTTGTGTTTTATCTTGTTGTTGTAAGCTGCTCTGGGTGCAGAAAGGCAAGGTCTAAACTTAATAAATAATAACAGAAAATGTATTCTGCATTTGTGCCATGGACATGCAGGGGTCTATCTTACAAATAGAAGAGTCAAGTTGGTTTACACTGGGCATTACACTTGGCATAAAGTTGTGAATAAAACTGACCAAATTTGCAAACTGTTGCCATAACATCCTACAAAACGATGAAAAGCATCTCGGACTCCTATTACTGCAGTGGTTGTGACATGCATGTAGCTTACTCTGTCATAAATTTTACCAAAACCTTTCAAATGGTCAGGTTACATATGGATAAGACTAAAAAAGTGGATGGATAGTTACTATTCATACTAGAATTCCTTTACTTTGGGCATGGAAGAACAAATGTGCACAAATTAGATATATATTTAAAAATGGTTCATATATACATTTGAAGTACTAGTTTATTGGTATTACACAGTATCATACTTTAATTTTCTTTTTCTGCTCAATAACTATTTGAAAGATATATACACTGACAGTAATGGTGACAAAGGTAAGCTAAAACAGCGAGTTAAAGTAACTCCTAGCATCCAAAATGCCCCACCTTCATATTACATATCCTGGCAAGTAAACTTCTGGAAAGCCACGCACAACAAATGAGAAATCAACAGAGAAAGAAAGAAAGAAAGAAAGAAAGAAAGAAAGAAAGAAAGAAAGAAAGAAAGAAAGAGGGAGGGAGGGGGAGGAGGAGGAGGAAGAAGGAGAAGAAGGAGGAGATCCAGACAGCTTACAAACCAGAGGTAATTTAAGAAATGGATCAAAGGATGATAGCAACAGGTGAGGCAAAGCATTTAATGAAGTTTCTTACTACCTGTTACCAGCAACAAAGCAGGTGTCAAATTCAACTCTGAGATCAGATAAGAATCTAAAAAAGCAATTCTGGGAAGAGGTTGTTCTACAGCCAAATTTGCAAGTACATTTTCCTATGCAATCAGGTGCAAAACTCACATTTAGGTTTTAAATTTGCATACACAAGAAGTCTGGTGAGGGGAAAAAAAGATTAGATGTACTTACCCTGGATGGACTAGGATGTCCTCCATTCCCCCAGGACCCTGAGCTAGTTCTGTCTTCTACATCTAGGGACAAAAAAGTTCTTTAGGCTTTACTGCAATAATTCTTTCCTTTTGTATAGGCACTTTTAAATTAATGTTTCAAATTAATCTCCTGTTGCCTTTAATTAAGAATCAGGCACAGGGCTACCACAATGATAGTGGCTTCTGACCCAACCACTTAAATTAACTCATTTAAATTCACAGCAGAAATGAACTGGACCCTCAGGAACCGAAGGTTTGCACATAAAAATTATTCTAGTCATTCAAGTCTTTCAGAAGTGGCTGGAAGTCATTGACTCAAGTTGAATTGAAATCTAGCACAGAAATGCACAGACTCAAAGATAATACCAACAATACTACAAAACAAAGTAGAGAAATTTAAGATAGAGTGTACTTAGATAAAGGTTTTGCTTCTCACCCTACTTTCTACTGAATACTCCTTCTTAAAAGCAGATTTCAGACACTGATTTGGGGAATATCTCTTTTGAAGGAAAAAACAAGGAAAAATACATGTAGTTCAGTAGACAAAGTGCTGGTTGGGATTTTGAGGATCCCCCCCCCCCCAAGAACACTGTTTTGGAAAGGTTGCCAATTTTTAAAACAGCCAGAAAGGTACTGGAATGGAAATGAGGATTATCCACTCTGGGAGAGAGCACAGGGATTTATGGCTGACTGAGGTACACTCAGTGACAAAAGCCATTTTCTAGCTAAAAAATACATTTTTTTAACCTCAAGAGATTAGTGCAGATACCCTAAGTTCTGTACATTACAACCATGTTATTCTCTTACCAGAAAATATAAGGACTGTGGCAAAAGTAAAAGGACTCCGTTGAGCGTGATAAAGCAATTGTCAACCTGTCCTATATGACACCTAGAACCTAGTGTGTAGTGTGAACACAGCACAAACTATCACCATCTGGAAGCTGTACTTTTTCGTTCGGCCCTATGTAGGACTGCAGGAGGAAGTATCCAAGGATGCCAATGAGACCAAATATTTCAGACCTTTTTATTTTCCCGTTTTCTGGGATGGAGGTGTTGAGAGGCAACATTGGGTTTTAAGCTTTGCAGAGAACAGGGCATGATGAGCAAAAAACAGTCTTCAAGCAATGGGGTTGCCCACTCCTGACCTCCTATAAGGTATCAACGTTGTTTCACAGGCTGGAACACTTTTAAAATATAATTAAATGGAAAATGGCCAACCATACCGAAAGCCTTTGAAAATGAAAAACAAAATTTTTCATAAACAAATAAAATAATTAAATAATGTCAAGGAAAAGATGGTGGGCAAATCTCTCCAGAACACTTAATGGGGCATTCTGCAAAATGGGGGCTTTATGCAACCAGCCAAGTGCTGTCTAATTCTGGAACAGCCTGATTTAATCGGCATGATTTGCTTGAATGTTTAAATGCATTGATGGATCAGTACTTGGTTAAAGCATCAGTGTGGTATACTGGGTAAGGTGCTGGACTAGGAATAGGGAGATCCAGGTTCATATTCTATGAGAAGTTCACTGAATGTCCTTGGGTCAGGGACATCAACCTACCTTACAGGTCATGGTTGTGGGGGTAAACTAAAAGGAGATTCCTTTATAAATGTGTAAGCCAAGAGGCAGAGGCCTGCACAACAGAGGTATCAGTTACGTCAAAAACCACCCAGCTTCAAGTCCATGAAGTGCAAGATACAATCCACATAAATGTGGGAAAGATAGATAGAAGCTGCAATGGATTTAAACTGCTGTATAAGAGGGAACTTCATCCTTGTCTGAATGGAAGGCAATCAACTACTCAATGTGGCTTCATTCTAGTTTGCAATAAAGATGCTTATCTAGCGGTGCCATGTTGTGCATGGAAATGAAGAAGTTCTGCAAGATTATCATATGCTTTATTTATTTATTTATTTATTATTATTATTATTATTATTATTATTTACAAATAATTGTTTTATTATATTCATATCCCATCTTTCCTCTAAGAACTCAGGGCAGGGTATCCCTTCATTTTATCCTAACAATCCTGTGAAATTAAGTTAGCCTGAGAGGCAAGGACTAGCCCAAACTCAGCCAATGAACTTCATGGAGACTTGATTTTGGTCTCCTCAGTCCAAGTTGAGGACCACCAAATTATTTTCTCTAGACAAAACAAAGGCTTTATTAAGTTCACTCCTTAAATAATAGGCATTATACAGGTCAATGGGCTTCAATGTAAATAAGCAGAAAAGAATGACCACTGGAAATAGTTTTGCATATAGCCTGATGGGATTAGAGACAATGGTGACTGAAAAAGGAAAAGGTCATAGACTATGCACAGCTGCTAAGAAAAGGAAAAGAAAAAGAATTTCAGGGTTAAGGATCGTTAAGTAAAAAAAGTTTTGTGTGTGTGTATATACACACGTCCACACACACACACATATACACAAACATCTTTATATAACATATTACAGCTATATGTGGTAGTTACTACCACAACTCTAAAAATATTGTTGTTCTGAGAAAGATGCAGAAAAGTGCAACCAAAATGATGAATGAGCAACAGATATATTAGCTATGAACTTCAGTGAGCACAGCCCTAACCCATCTGAAAGGCAGCTCCTGAAGGACTGCTGAAATTGGAGAGTATTTCAGAACATCTTAGAGACTTTGGGAAATTATAGTTGAAAACTCTGAAAATTAAATTGTAATAGTAATAATAATTAATATTTGGAGAGACAGTTTGGTGTAGTGGTCTAGTCTATCAGGCTAGAAACCAGGAGAACCGTGAGTTCTAGTCCCACCTTGGGCACAAAGCCAGCTGGGTGACCTTGGGCCAGTCACTTTCTCTCAGCCCTAGGAAGGAGGCAAGGCCAAACCACTTCCAAGAAACCTTGCCAAGAAAACTGCAGGGACTTGTCCAGGTAGTCTCTGAGAATCATCATCGTCATCATCAGTGCCTACAGGTACTGGTGAGATGTATAGCTCAAAACATACCCTGTGGGTCTTTTTTTCTTTTTTTTTAAATCTCTTCCCTGAAACAGGGAATCCTATTAGTTCTGCAGATATTGGGTTGACTTATTACTTCCTACAGAGAAGTGTTTGTGTCCAGAATTTTGTAGAACCCTGAGCCAAGGCCATAAGAATTCTACATCCGTATGCTGCTTTGTTCCATGTTTTCAAATAATTTACAGAAATCTGGAAAAGGTTGTTTATGAATCTTCATTTATTCAACTTTTTCCAGAATAGAAAGATGAAAAGAAGGAGGAAATGTTTCCACACGAGAAATTTTAAATGGCAGATTGTGTTATTTCTTAGTTTTACTGAGGTAGGCCACCTGAGAAGGAAATACAGTAGTTGCTTTCAATGCAACTTAAGATTCTTCACGGGCAGTTAGAAAGTGCCTTGTTGCCTGAGGATAGGCTATGGCAGTTGCATCAGGGCTCAAGCGAGAAAATAAAAGTCCCTCAGCTATAACATCTAAGGTAGAGTCTAATACATATTTGTAGCACATTAAACTCCACAGAAATAGCTTGCTTGACTGCTCATTAAAAATGTATTTAAATTCTCCAGTGATCAACTAGTTAGGCACCAATCTAGCAAAGCAAGAATAAGTTTAAATACAGCTAGAGTCCTAGTGAATTATTTTTTCCACTGTACTTATTTCTGAAGAATATAAAGAACTTCATACTGAAGTCAAGAGAAGGCACTGAAGAGCATCATTTTCCTAAGTGGCACTTTTGCTCTGGAACGCTCTTCCTCCTAAGATTCATAATGTGTTTATGATATACTTTTTAGACACCTATTCAAGATCTCTCTCTTCACCCAGGTATTCTCTGCATAAATGTTATACTGGCAGTGGCACTAACTACCTCTGAAGAATCTTAAGTTGTATAACTTCTTTTCTCCTTTCACTTTTTAAATTGAATGGGTCATTTTATACTGCAGGTAGTCCTCATTTAACAGCCACTCATTCAGCAACCATTCAAACTTACGACAGTGCTAAACAAGTGGTAGTTACAACTGGACATCATTCATGATCGCAATTTGTGACCTTCCCTGCCAGGTTTCCACAAGCAAAATCAATGGGGAAGCCAGCAGGAAGTTGGAAGTCGCAGTCACATGAGGTCCTCTCATAACAACCCCCATGTTCCTCATTTAACAATGGCAACCAGGACTGCCAGAACTGCCATTGCTACATGGTAGGGTCACAACTTACAGCCGCGTCACTTAACAATAGAGTTTCAGGTCCCAATTAGCATCATCATACGAGGACTGCCTGTATTTTATGCTGCTTGAATTTACTGCTTCTTTCTGTCAATTGCTTCAGAATTCCTAATAATGCAAACTGGTATTCAATTAACAGAGTGAAGAACCCAGATGGATTACAGCACATAACCAGTAAATTAAAGTAGCTTTTGCACTATCTATATGTTTAAAGACCTTTATGGCCTAAACAGAGAAAATGACAGAAATCTCTGATTTATACATTTTCTTTAAATTGTAGTACTTGACATTTCTGTGTATAAGGATTGGATACATATTCAACAAGATAAGAATGTGTGATGTCAATACTTTTATATGCAGATGATGTATGAGTACTTTTATATGCAATATTCTTGGCTGAGAACCTGAATATTTTGCAGTAAAAGTTAGACTGTATGATACAACAAGGAGCATGACTCAGAACATTAATATATCAAAGAATAAGGAAGTTGTATTTGATAGGGAAAATGGAATTAACAACTGCAAATTACAGATAAATAGTGAAAGGCTAGAGCAAATACAGGTAGTCCCTGGGTTAAGAACGCCTGGTTTAAGGATGACCCATAGTTAAGAACAGAACTTACTGTAGCAAAATTTGAGTCAAATACACAATGATTCGAGTTAAATACACAGTGGTTCGAGTTCAATACACAATACTACTTATACTGTATTATACAATAATACAGTTCCAGCTTACATACAAATTTGACTTAAGGACAGACCTTGGGAACGGAACTCATTCATAAACTGGGGACTACCTGTAATGAATGTCTGTACCTTTATGGAATATAT